ACTGGGAAATGGTTACCCTTCACATCCGCACAGGTGATGTTCACATTTTTAAGGCGTCTGCAAGCTTGCACGCGTTCTTCAAGCAAATTCCCTTTAGGGTTTGCCGAAGACTGGATATGGACTGGGAAAATATCTAACACCCAGATTAATGGACGTGAGAGAAGACAAGGAAAGGCTGACATTGAAAGTAACTTATGGCATCTCAGTAATCTTATCTGACAAATGCTGTGAGCTAAATGCCCTACCTGATAGCGTATGGTGCAGTTGTAGATTGGAAGGCAAGAGAGGACAAAAGTGAAATTAATAAATAAAACAGAGTATTTTACATAGACAGTGAAGATTAGCAAATATGCAATATACTTTTTTGATATTAATAGATAAAATGTCTTTAAAAAAAACACAATTGTACACAGTTGTTTAAACAGGAGATAGGAGCTTAATTATTTAGTTGCAGCTTGGCTTTTTTTTTTTTTTTAAAAAATCAGTTTCCCTATCTTGTTCAAATTGATAAGTAAGCCTAGATTGCATCAAGTCAGAGCTAAACCACCCCTTCTCTTGAATGCCGCGGAGGCTGAGCCTGTGCAGCCCTCCCACAAGAGACTGGTGCAGCGGTGGTTTACAGCTACCCAACTCGGAGCCTCCGTGGGGTTAACTGCTTCGACAAAAGCTAACCATGCTATTGCCAAAGGGTTCTGGATTCCACACGATGGGAGAACAGGACAACAAAATTTATTTTCACTTGGCTAGGATTTGGAAGCTGATCTTGATATGAAAAAAATCAATGTTGTATCTCACAGTTGATACTGGAGTGCTTCCCCTGCACAGAGCTAGGACAAAAAAGGCTGTGACTTGCAAAAAGTGCTAAAATTCTAGTCTAGAAACTGGTGCAGGAGAAGCTAAGTGTTTCCAGGGCTCAGTTTAAAATCATCATCTCCACCCCGCCGTGACAAGATGGGGAAACTGCCCCACCTAGGCAAGAGAGCTAGCGTAGATCCCTCCTCCTTCGAAACCTCATACCATCAGCAGTTTTACTACTTTGCTATTTTCCACCAGTTTCTCTTGGCTGACTCAGGGCTGAAACAGCGAGGGATGTGCACTGGTACAATGGAACTGCGGTTCTTGGCTTTCTGGATGTTTATGGATGACACAGTGATATAGTCTGTGTGCTTTTTTTTGGTGGAAGGATGGGACACAAGGAGAGGTTCAGTTAAAAAAAACTTCAGTTTGAAATCCTCCCTGGAAGCCACAGGGCAGTGCTTAAATAAAGATCAGCTGAATTGAGCACAGCTTGACCACAATTTTTGTTCCATCCTGAAAAGGGTAAGTCCAGGTAACCTGACATAGCAGAGCGCTCTATTTTTAATTGGTCGGATTTCCACAGCCTGTTCTTTCACACAGTACGCACCGACTTCTGTCAAAAGTGGAAGTCCCCTTTTTGGTGGAATATTTGGTAAAAAACAATGTTGATATCAAGTGCGTTTAAAGAATGCATGTTGCCTTACGTGAACACATTCAGTGCTTAACCCTGTCAGAGCAACTCCCGTTTTTGGAGGACTGGGTCAAAATCTTTTACCTAGTCCTGTATGCAACAACATATGCAGCTGGTGAAAACAGACAATGAAAGGACGTATTGTAGAGAGAAAGGTGGAAAAGGTCACAAATCTCACTTTGCAGAAAGTCCTTCAGGTTTTTTTTTTTTTTAGCTGCCTTTCTTCACATTCAGTAGTCATCACCAGGGTAAGGAGACACAGCAAGAACTTGCCATGCTCCTGAAATGCAGTTGCTTCTGGCTACGGACAAAGTCCTCAAAGGGGATGATGAGAGACTGGGCACCCACCAGCTTTCTGTGGTCTGGCACAGAGTAGCTAAGTCCCAGGCTTTCCCCAGCGCAGGAGCTCAAAACACTGCAGAGTCTGTCACAGAAGACTGTCCAAAGTGGTGAGCTGGTGTGGTGACACAACAACTGTTGTGTGGACACAGCCGGTAGTTGGGGAATCCAGCAGATTTTGCTGTCCCTTGTGTTGGAGAAGTTTGGTGGGTTTATTTGCCATCTCTCTTGGCATGCTCTGCAGAGATCTGTCGCTTGTATTACAAGCAATGCTGCTGCTGAGATGGGGGTGATGCTTCTCTTGACGCATCTCCAGCTGCCCAAATTGTTGGCAGACTTTCCATTTAGACAGGTGCTGTGAAAACAAAACAATTTCTTCTTAGAAAAAAAAATAGAAAAAAAAAATCCCCTAGAAATAATTGTGTCCTAGAGTTGTTCCTCCTAAGTAACCAGTGGAACAAGCTGCAAAGCTATGGAAATAGATGTATTCATGCTGCTGAGAGTGAATCGGCCGGAGTGAAGCCCTGCCTCTGCCCGGATATCGGAGACACTGGGGACCCTCTACCCTTGTGCCACCGACTGAAAGTGCTTCTCTTTGTGCCAATGTAAAAAGTGCTGTCCTGCTAACATCCCCCGCCCTTGTGAAGGGATGTCACTGTCACCATTGGTTCGTTTTAAACTACTTTAGAGAACGAGATGCACAAAGGCCATCTGTGGTGAAGGGAAACCAGTTTCCCGAGGCTCCTCTACGGGCAGTGAAGGGATCCCTCCAGAGAGCCATTCAGAATTTCTCTAGCTCTGAATTTTCTCCTCCCTGGAACATCCTGCCCCGCTTGCCTGTAAATGAGTGTCTGGAGAGAGTAACCCCACCAGGATGAAGTCACTCTTCTTTGCAACCTGCCTTCCTCCCAGTTTCCAAGACTTTTTTTTCCTTGTAACAGCAAAGCTAGTCTCAGTAGCCTCTTTTTGGTTTGCAGTATTCAGGATTCCTACCCCCTGTGAAACAATCTCACCTTCTTCATAAACTGGAACGGCTAGAAGCAGAAATGTATTTACATCAGTATTCGAAAGTAAAATGCCGTGGCAGAGCGTCCCCGTGGGTGCACCTCTGCAGTGCCTTACTCCCCAGCTACCCCACGCAACTTGCTTGAAAATATCAAATGATGATTGAATTAGGCTGGAATTTCTCCAAGAGCCCACCTTTTGCCCCAAGGTAGTACTAGCTATTTCTAAATCATTTCTGACAGATACTGGTTTCCTGTTTTTTCTTAAAGAAAGAGAACAGCAGCAAACCCAGACTGGTGGAGACTTGACAGCCTGCACAAGCTCTCTGCCTCAGTGCTCAACTACTGTTACCCTTAGGAGAGGCATTTTTTTCCTAACATCTAGCTTAAATCCTCCTTTGTTTAAGCCTGTTGTGCCTTAAGTGCTGTGTCCCTGGGTTAGGACAATAACTAACTTGTCCCATCCTCTTTAAGGATTCTCTGAGGAGGGTTGTTATTGTGTCCTTCATCAGCCTTGCCTTCTCCAGCCTAAACAAACATAACCAATCCTTCATCAGAGATCACGTTACCTAGATCATTCTCATTTCTCTGGCATTGGTCCAAGTTGCCCTCAAATTGGGATGCCCAAAAGATACTGCCTTCTGGGCCTTACGTGGCTCTGTTGGCCGAAGACATCCCTCAGAGGTGGGACAGTTTCTGATAGCACTGAACCATCAAAGCTGCTGTCCCACCTCCTCTTCCACAAATGGTGAGGAGACATGCCAAGGAAAAGATAGTGTCTGGAAGGCAAGTGTCCATATTTTGTTGTTAATGAGCAAACCATGCTACAGCAGCCTTCAAAGTAAGATAAATATTTACTCCTACTTATCTTACAGAGGTTTTTCTACTTAAGAGCTAAGTCCAGGGATCTAATCCAAACAGGGCCTGGTACAAGTAAGTCTGGAGAAGAAAATGTTGACCTCAAATGAATTGCGTTATGTTAATGTAGCTCACGGGAACGGAAGGAAAAAATGTCTCTCTTTCTTAAGGAGAAAATCCATCCTCCTTTCTACAGTGTGCTCTACAGGAAGCACTGTAATGCCTGTTGATGTTTAGCAAACACGAATGTTGGGGATCAAGCTGGAGTTGCGTGATGGGTGTAGAAAACAACTGACCGTTAACCCAGTTTGAATAACCACCAAAGAGGTTCTAGAAAAAATTGTTTAATTAGGGGTTATTTTGCTTCTGCTTGATGTTATGAGATGGGTCCGTTCACAGCATCTGCTGTGGCAAACTATGCTTTAGCTATTACAGTTTTGGTGAAATCACAGTATTTTCTGCCTGTTCTGCAGAGACACCCGGGCAACAGTCATTTGTTTCAGTAGAAACTACCAAATGAGATATAGAATAGGCAGATATTTCACCCTCTCTGTACTATCAAGTCCTCTGTGCCGAGTTTGTTTTTCCAAATCTGTCTTGGACTTTTTGCCCTGTTTTTATTATTCCCCCACGATAAATGAATTTGTTAAACCAGCTGGCCTGCAATATTGCATTCTTGCTTATAAAAAAATATGAGCGTGTTGAAGGTCTGAACTGTGGGGTGTATTTTTTTTTCTAGGAAAGGAGAGTGCTTAGGATTTTTTTAAAATTAGGTGTATATAGGTTTAGGTTCATGGACATGAAGCAAATGATGCTTCTGCATCCCAGCTAAAGACCTTCTAGGATGCAGTGCCTAAAAAGGCAGGGAACAACCATTTGATGATAGGCACTGACGTGATATGAAGTGATAAATGGTTGGTGTTGACCAGACTTGAAAATCACCGTTTAAAACAGCTTTTCTGAGTTTGGCTCTGTCTTGGTGGCAAGAGGAGCTTCAGCATAGTTGTAAAACAGGAGGGGAGGGTGGCTTCACCCCATACGCTCCATGTCCCCTGTTGATTTATTGTGTCTTCTGGTCTGAACTGTTGAAGGTATTTCTGGGAACTGAGACTCTTGGGCTTCCCTTGGCAACACTTAGAGAGCTTAAGGAAAGGGCTGAGAGAAGAAGTAGGGCTTGAGTTTGTAAATTTACATGCTTGAGTTTGTAACATCCAGCAAGTCTAATCCGAAAGCTTTGTGCTGAACTTGAGTACTGAGCTATGAAGTTAAGTCACTCGAGATAAATACATTAATGTATTTTTAATACTTACAGTTGAGTCCTCCTTTGTCTTCGTTTAGTTGGACATCTGTTGAAACAAATGCACTGTTTTAAGCATGTAGGATAGAAATAGGATTAATATTAAGCAACATCCACCAAAGTTGAGGGTTCAATGTGCATGATTTCCTGCTGTTGTGTGAAGGCAGCTTACTCGTACTTTCTAGCAACATGCTGGATGACATTAAATATTTTGGCAAATGAAAAAGAATCCTTCAGATTTGGTCATGTAAATGAAAGGCCTCATTTACCTGTGTAGGATGCTAGGTTAGAGGACCTCCGTCTCCACAGCCAGCAGGTTAAAACAGCTAGAAGACCTATCAGAATGACAAGGGAAACGATGCCAGCTGCTTGAGCACCTCGTCCATTTTTTTCCAGATTTTTGTGACTTTCTGTGCTAGAACCATTGCTTTGCTTCTGCTGTGTGTCTAGAATAAAATAGAAGGTGGATGTAATAAGGTGTAAATTTTCACATTTCATACCAGGCAAATATTTGACCACACTTCACATGCGTAACAAAATTCTGAAGGACTAAATATTTGTGCTATTCATATCACTGTGATTCTGGTGGTATTCTGAGCAAGGCACATCTCCAGCTTACGCTGCCTAATGATGCAATGGTGGCTTGTTCCTCCCTGTTATCACTGCATGCATCCCTCTTTCTTCCTTTTTGTACTTCTTTTCTGCCAGCCTTGGGAGGCTGTACGTTTGAGCTTGTATCTAGACTCAGTTGAAAATAAATCTATACAGAATCTGTAATGTAAATCTGATGGTATTCAGGAAAGTGGGTGAAAACCTGTTTCCCTGAAGTTAGTGACGAATTTCCACTGGTCGCTGCAATCTGAAGGTTTCAAATCGTATCTCTTACTATTTCAAGTGTGGTAGTGCTTTTAGCAACCAACAAAAAATAGTAAGATGAAGGTCTTTTCCCTCAGAATACAATATGACAGAATGCCATTAGGAAACTAATTACAAGGTTACTTATTATTCCTCAAATTTGGGATGACAGCAAGGGAATGCTATCATATAAATGCTCCACTGTGCAACTTTTGCTCGTGCGCACAATTTTTCTTCCTGGAAATAGTTTATATCATCTGGCTATGTTTGTGGGATCAGTGTTAAGTCCAGAGTATGTGATTCCTTCTCTACATAGCTTTTTGGAAATCGTGGAATCTACTATTGGTACTACAGCTACAACTTTTTTAATAGCTTTTTTTAAATAGCTTTCTGTTTTTGTGAAGAATTGAGTGGCTATATACTTTTTTAACTATTGATCACTCATATGAGGAATAAATAGCATGTTGTACTTGTGCTATTAGGGGTACTGTTCTATTGGGCTAACATTACCTGTTTGCTACAGGCCTACTTTAAATAGCGCAGTGTATTGAACTGAGTTTTGGAGACTGAAAACAGAACTTTGAAGCTAGGCAGAGTAAAAAGCAAATGTGAGTGCTGCAAAGCAGTCGGGCAGGGGTTCAGGATCTATGGATCTGCTGTATGGTGCCTCCTGAAAAATAACCTGACTCCCCAAGTCGTTATGTTCCCGAGGAACCAAAGGGTAAAGCCCAGTGGCTGCCTTGGATGCAAGAGCTTCTCAGTGCCGCTGTCATACCACGCTTGATGAGGTGTTCAGTGTGGAAGAAGTAAACATAAAGTCCCTGGCTAAGCATAACTAGCTTGAAACAAAACCTGAGCTGCTGCTCGGCACTCTTTGGAACTACTGAATTAATGCGTACCCCTTGTTAGTGCGTATCTACAGACAGACACGTGCTGGTTGGCATGCCTGCTATCTAGAGAACATGAAGTAGCATGATGGGACTTACAGTTGGCTGACAGGTTTTCCCGCAGTATTTTATTTTCTATGGAGCACTCTATTTGCATGTTCGAAGTAGCTTTAACCTTCAGCGTGCTAAAAACGCTGTAAGTGCCATCGGCGTGGGGTGTGATCTTTAGCTCTGATGGAGGCAGGTGGCTGTTGTCCGTTTTATTTATCCAGTAAACATTGGGCTCTGGGTATCCATTGCCCGACCTGCAGCTGAAAGTCATCTCCTCTCCGGTGCTGTCACTGTTTCTTATCGGTCCACTGAGTATTGGTTGGCTATAACTAGCTGGAGAGCAAGAGATAAAGAAATAGTCGTCGAAATGTTGAAATGAATTGAAAAGACAAAATTTTGACGTGGGTTCTGAAGCAGAAGTTCTGGGTTTCACATGACCCTCATGAGTTGAAAGGGAAACAGCTGTGGGTTTGGTATGCAAGCCAGAGAGCTGAGAGAATGACTGGAAGGGCAGAAAGCTGAACCCAAACCCTAAAGGCAGAAAGCAACTTCTTAGGCTGCTGTCACCCAGTCATGTGCAAGAGGCCTTATATTAATGAAAACCAAGATGGAAAAAAAACCCCTGCACTGGATAAACAGCTGTTACAGGTATTCTCCCAGTTTTTGATTCCTTGTCTGTAATGTTTAGTGGGTTTAGCGGGCATGGTGGCATTGGGTATACGGTTGGACTTGATGATCTTTGAGGTCTCTTCCAACCATAACAATTCTATGATTTAAATTAAGCAGACTTCATTTCAGCAAAGGGCTGAAGTATGTTTCCATGTTAAGGGTATGCTTAAATACAATATTGAAATGGCACAAATTTGAAAAGCTAGAATGAGATTTTGGGTGAATACGTGCAAGTGATACAAGCTCTTACCTGCTAAACTGAGAACCACTTCTGCCTGGTGAATCACTCTGGTGTATTCTGTTTTCTGCAGTACTACACATTTGTACGTACGTTCATCACTCTGGCTGACGTTTAGTAGTAGCAGAGAAAAATCACCATTTTCCAGTCTATCCCAGAATAACTGAGTCCTGTTTTTAAAGTGAATACACTGTTCACTTTCATTGTCTTGACCAGAGATCAGTGCATGTACAACTGAACACTCTTCTTGATCATCAGCTATTTGCCAATATACCCGTAGATTTTTTAAGTGCAATTCTCTTCCTCGATAAATGCAACTCAGTGTAGCATTGTCTCCAAGCTTACTGACAATGGTCTTCTCTTCCAGTGCAAAAACTACAAGATTAAGAGAGAAAGATAAAAAGGGAGGTTATGTGGGAAAAATGTCATTCTTTTCAAGTATATTCTACCACATGTGGACTCCAGTGTTAGTATGTGTAACAGGCAGGTGAGTGTGCTCACTTCATAGTCATTCCTACCTTCCGACTCGGTGGTGGCTAATTCTCTCTGTGTCTGTATATTTTCCAAAAGGGACCTTTTACAATATAAAGCCTTCTGCTTATTTCTTTCTCCAAGGACTGGCTGGTCTAAGCGTTCCCAGCCCCATGGATACCTGCATGTTTCAGGTATCTGAAACTGACTGCAGACACATATTCAAGTCCTAATGCTTTAATAATCACTTTTTTTAATTAAGAAAAATGCCAAATAACACCAGGTAAATCACAAGCAGTGGCAACACTGATAAGAAAGAATGCTACCGTTATTTTGAGACCCAAAAACTTAAAAAGGGGAGTAAAACCAGTGTTCCTCAAAGTGGGTATGTCATAGCAATCACATTTTATTGCTACCATCGGTGTCACCCTCTCAACAAACACACCCAGCTGGTCAGACGAGCATGCCCAGATACCTCCAGTGACACATCCATTGAACGTTTACAACCCCTCATGGCCACTCGAGGTAGGCCAGCACAGTATCTGGCTTTCAGGGCACTTTTCCTGGCCTCCAGACATGAGAACAGCAGCCTCTCTCCTCCTGGTGAGCAAGGCAAAGGTGTGAGCTGGCTGACAAGTGATGCAGAAGGTACCGGTCAGTGAGTCTGAAGGGGCCAGGGTGGCTCTGACCACAGCCTCCCTGCTGAGAGGGAGCATCGCCTCTCCTCTGCCCCAGCAGCCAAAACCTCTTGGGTGCTGAGACCAAAGCAGGGTGCACGCTGTAAATGTGGGACTGGGGGGTAAGGGCGGAATCGGGCATGGGGTTGGATGGGAGAGATTATGGCTGGGGAAGGGATGATGCGGGTCAGTGAGTTAGGGCAAGAAAGATGACAGGACTGAGGGTTTGGAAATACGGAAACAGCGCATGGTGAGGTGGGAGGGAGGCGGCGATGTTAAAGGGGGTTACGCCTTTGTGTTGGTGCGCTGGAGTTAGAAATAGTTCATCTACACCTCTGAGTTGGGAACCCTGGCCTAAAAACACCACTGAAGCAAATGAAGTACTTGCAGAGAGGAAGGCAGTATGTATATATATATAAGCCCTTATCTTTAAAAAAAATTATATTTTATATATATGTA